GCTATTTTACCAAACAGGGCCTATGTCTTTTAAAACATATTTCATTTCTATTTCTTAAATCAACCAAACACTGTAATATAATTCCTAAAGTCTATTCCTTCCGCGAATCAAATAATAAAATACAATTCTTATTCTATTCCTTGCCTACTCCATTCCTTATAGAATAGCATTCCTATTACCTCAAAATTCATTCTGTGAACCAAACGTGCTATTGAACTATTGGAGAGCTATGAAAGACGGAAACTAGTCTTCAATGCCAAATTTTCTTAATACTAATTGTTTATTATCTCATTTTATTTTGTTTGCAACATATTGGTTAAATCAAGTCCTTTTTTTTTTTTTCTTTTTACAATTGTTTATACTTTTCAAATTCACAATTTTGTATTTCATAAGACTTGTGATATAAGTTTTAAATATATAAATGTTATCCATTAATATTAAATTAAATATTATAAAAAATTGGAAAATAAAGAAATTGAACAAAACTTAATTATTCATATTTCATACCATGCAATCATTCCAAAACAGATAAAAGTATTGATTTATAAAACCAAAGTCTTTTTATTCATGACAATGGCCTTTAAGCTCAAAAACATGGAAACAGGCACCCTGGGGAAAAGGATGGTAGTCAAAGGGGAATAAAATCAATCACGAGGAGCTACCTCTGCTCTCTTTTTCTTTTGACCTAATTTTCGTCTTTATTATTTTAACAAATATATATATATATATATATATATATATTAAAAATGAATTATTTTCCATAGATAAGACACCATTTTAGGGTTAAAGCTGCTTTAGCCATTGTCTCATTCTTGGATTCACCCAAATCAATTTTGACAAAATCCGTGTCTTGCGTCTTATTAGCAACTTGGGAGGGTCCCAAATCATTCCTTTTTGTCTTTCACATTTATGAATTTTCTTCATATGGACTGCTGCTTTATTCTTCTTTTTCTTAATTGTGTGTTGCTTTAACTAGTTTAGTTGTGGATGTGTTTGGGTTTGTAATTGCGTACATATAATGATATAATTGGCTTTGGCTCAAACTAAGGGGTCGTTTGGTTCACGGAATGTCAGATTACCTTAGGGAATGTTAGATTGCTGGGAATGTTAGATTACCGGGAATGTTAGATTCCTGTGTTTGGTTAAAATTGGGTATGTAATATAATCATGTTTGGTTTAGGGTTATATTTATTCACACACTATAATATCCTTAACATATTTTTCATATATTTTAATAAATTTAAAAATTAAAATAAATAAATAAATAAATAAGATAATGGTATCATATATAATTACATGATTTTAAAATATTAACTAAAATATTGAACTTGAGAAACAAAATTATTTTATATGCTAACCTAACATAATAAAAATAAAAAATATATAATTACAAAAATAATTATATGTGTGTGTGTGTGAGAGAGAGAGAGAGAGAGAGAGAGATAAACTAATATAACCAAGGTTATCTTACATAACCTTAGAAATTGAAGGGAATCACATTCCCTTCAAAATCCTATGTGAAGGGAATGTGACATTCCTGGAGAATGTTAGATTCCCTGAGATAATGTGAACCAAACATAGGAATGTAAGCTTTGAAATGTCACATTCCCTTGATTATGTTATATAACCTGAACCAAACGCCCCCTAAGGTTTTGAACATGCAGTTGGGAAGTGAATCACAGGAGAGTATTGAGAAAATGAAGTAAGTTGGGTGGCGATTGGGCACTCAATTTCATGTAATTAATGTTATTACTTATTAGTTATTACTAAGTTGATATCAAGAACTTTAAGTTGCAAGGTTAGACACATACATTGTAAGACAAACACAAACTTGTAAGTATATTGGATGGCAACGTAACCCACCTCCGACTACAAAAGCTGGACTTGGTCATGGTTGAATTCCCACCAATTGAATTTTGTCTCTTACTAATTCCATAATGTATTATAATGTCTTGATGACATTTTATATAATTTTACTATATATATGTGTGCGCACATGGGTAAGAAATGATGAATAATTTTTATTACTTAATTAAAACATAAAGTCCTAATTTATACAAAAAGGAAGACTGATTAGGAAAGAAAATTTTATAATCTGGGAAAGTAAAATATATGCATATGAATTCTAATATTTTCACACTCCCCTCAACTTAATTGAGTTGTATATATTATACAAGCCCAGCTTGGAATTGAATTTTTCAAAGCTTGTTCTAAGTAAAACTTTTGTAAAGATGTCAGCAATCTGTTTATGTGTAGGAATGTATTTGAGTTCAATGATTCTTGAATTCACCTTCTAAAAGTGTTTGTCTATTTCAACATGCTTTGTTCTATCGTGATGAATCTGGTTCTTAGCAATGTTGATGGCAGCTTGACTATCACTATACATCTTGAAAGATGTAGAAGCTTCAATTTTCAACTCATTCAATAACCTTTTAATCTACATCCCTCACACATACTTAATGCTAGTGCACTGTATTCTGATTCTGCACTGCTTCGAGAAACCACTAACTGTTTTTTGCTGCGCCAAGTGACTAGATTTCTCCATACATAGGTACAATAACCAATAATTGATCATTTAAATATCAGTCAACTCTCCAGCCCGACTAGAATCTGTGTAAATTTCTAGGTCTCGGTTGTCATGTTTTCTGAAGTGTAGTCCAAGACCTGGTGTCATTTTGAGGTACCTTAGAATGCGATAAACAAGTTCCAAATGCTCCTCATTACGGCTATGCATATGTTGACTTACAACACCGACAGAGAAAGCAATATTCAAGTATGGTATAAGAGAGATAAATTAGTTTTACCTCTAATCTTTGATAACTCCCCCTTTGTACTGGAATTGGTTCCCCACTCCGGTTTGTTTTTAAGTTAAGGTCCATTAGAGTATTTGCTAGTTTTTCTCCCGAGCATTCCAATTTTGCTTAGAATATCTATGATGTACTTTCATTGAGATATAACAATTCCTTCCTTAGATCGAGCTACCTCCATTCCAAGAAAGTATTTGAGGGATCCTAGATCTTTGATCTCAAATTTTTATGCAAAAAATCTCTTGAGGTTTGAGCTTTCACATGAATCATCTATCGTTAGGATTATGTCATCCACATAGACAATGAGAATTGTCAGCTTTCCTGTTGAAGAAATTTTCACAAAGAAGGTATGATAAGCTTGGCACTGTGTGTATCCAAGTTTTACAATTGACTTTGCAAACCTATCAAACCATGCACGAGGTGATTGTTTCAAGTCATAGAGTGATTTTTGTAGTTCGCATACTAGTTGTCCACTGGATTTCTTTATCAAACCTAGTGAAATTTCCATATACACTTCTTCTTCCAATTCTCCATTTAAAAATGTATTTTTTAAAATACAATTGATATAAAGACCAATCACAATTTATAGCAAGTGATAATAGAACTATTACTGTATTGAGTTTGGCGATAGGAGCAAAAGTTTCATGATTGTCAACACCATATGATTGAGTGAACCCATTGGCAACCAACCAAACCTTAAATATGTTGATACTCCCATCTAGATTGTACTTGATAGTGAAAATTTACTTACATCAAACTGCATGTTTTCTTTGAGACAACTCAATAAGAACCCATGTGCCATTTTTCTCAAGAGCATTGATTTCTTCATTGACAGCAACCTTCCATTTAGGATCAGTGCCTCGTAGATGCCTGTGGGAATATGGGCAAGATCAAGAGAAGAGACAAAGGCTCGATACATAGGAGTTAATTTCTCGTAAGCAACAATGCAACATACCTATTAATGGGGTGACTAGTGCATGTTCTAACACCCTTCCGATAAGCAATAGACAAATCAAGATCATCAATAGTAGGTACCAGGCCAACTCATTGGTCATAGAATCCTTACCATCATGTTTGCCATTCATACAACAAAACCAACACCTTTAAATCTAATATAATTATGAAACTGAAACTACAATCACCAAAAATAACAATAATATTGTTAATTTATTTTAGATTCAAATATGTTCTTTTTGCAAATTAGCACAAGTAACCCAATTGCATTAGAGTTATGATATATTTGTTATTGGATATTATATTCCATATTTGGGTATTTCTTATTATTATATACTTGGATTATTTTATGGTTGACATTGGTTGTTTGGGTATACAACAATTAAAATATTGAAGTATACAATTTTGCTTATTTTCATGTTCATTTTCTTAAAAATGAACCAAACATACAAAGACAATTTTTTCTTGAGCGTTATGCTGTGGAATCGTGCCCACCTTGCAAGGTGGGCACGGTTTCAAACGATGCCGTCCTCTATAATTTCTATACTGTAGATTCATAAATCTATACTGTATATTCATAATTTCTAAACGGTAGATTCATAATTTAAATACAATATATTCATAATTTCTATACTGCAGATTCATAATATTTGTACTGTAGATTCATAATTTCTGTAGTGTAAATTCATAATTTCTAAATTGTATAGTTATCAAATTATGAACATATAGTTCTGTGATTTGGGAATACAGAGTTCAACAATTGGGAGTATGAACATATAACTCTATAGTTATGAACATATATTTATAAAATTATGAACATATAGCTCTATCACATGTTCACAAATTTAATACTGTAGATTCATAATTTTTATACCGTAGATTCATAATTTAAATACAATAGATTCATAATTTTTAAACTGTGCGATTGCAAAGAGAGAAACGCCGTGCAAGTGAAAAACAAATTTCAAAATAATTTTTTTTTTAATTAGAAAACGACGCCGTTTTGGAAACGTGTCCACCATGCATGGTGAACACGTTTCCACAGCATAATTTGCCATTTTTCTACTGTACAGCTAAATACTGAATTTTTTTTTTTAAGTCATTTTTCTATTTTTAATCGCATCCTAAATCTTACAGAAAAATCAAAGGTTAAAATTTCTAATACTTAATCAGACTTGCGATAGCAGGAAGCGTTTTTTAGCCTAATCCAATAGCCCAATACAATGCTCAATAAGTCAATAGTCAATAGCCTAATCCAATAGCCCAATTCAATTCTCAAGCCTCAACTCATCGCCTCTCTAAGCCCTAGTCCGCAATCGCACAATCCCCCGGTGAACGTCGGACCTCAGGCGACAGGTAAACCTCACCAGACACTAATCAAATTCCAGCTTCGACGCTTTACCCATTGTAGACTCGTAGTAGACATTCAAGGTAAACTTTTACATATTAGAATTCACAGTGATTTCATCCCTGCAAATATGCTATTTCATACGTATGTATCCCAAAACCTCACCTGTGGATGAATATGCTATTTTAAACCTGTTCATAGTAGTACTGTATTAGGAATACCAAATACTAGATTACTGAACTAGTGGAATGGGGCATAAATAATGGTGATTTTTTATGAAATTTTTACTAGTATAACAGTAATACAGTATTCCTATATGAACATTTTATTTTTTTAGTTAATTATTTATTATTATCTTATGTAAATTTTTGAGAAATAGCCAAAGGAGTTTGAAAATGAATTATGGATAGTGTGTTTGTATCATGTCTATATGTTTAACCATTTTGAAAAGTTCTGGACACTGGAGTACTAGACAGTGTGTATGTATATAGCATATAAATATGCAAGTACTATATCAATTGATCATCCAATTTATATGCTTATATAAATATGTAATTACTATATCAATTGATGTTTGCAGACTCGGAGTGATTTTGGACTTTGGAGAATTACTATTAACTTCCTTGAATGCACTTTTGACTTTGTATTGGCCCTGTTTGGTAAAAAATTGGCCTATAGGCCAATTTTGGCTTATTTGACAACTATTAATTGTTTGATTTAGTTAAAATATTAATATAAATGTTTGGTTAATTAACTTTTTGCAACTTCAAAAGGCTACTACAAGCAACTTTTTCAATTAGCTTTTTGAGAAAAGAAATTATACCAAATAGCTATCAGCTAACAGCTAATTTACCAAACACTTTTCTACAATCCGCTAATGTTATCAACTATTTATACCCTCTAATTAACACGATCAGCTAACAGCTAACAACCATTTTACCAAACAGGGCCATTGTGTTTAGACTTTAACCATTAAACTGATGAAGTTTGTTTAATTGTTTTTGTGTTTGTAGAATTCTAGTTAAATTTGAACTTGTGGCCTTGTGGATTGTTATATTTAAACTTTTTCAAGTGTAATTCTCTATTTATTTTTGATTTGTAATTTTGTACTATTGCATGTTTGGAATTTCAAACTATTAATTTTGGAATAGTGTGTTTTTGTTCAGTTTTTCAGTAACCGACATAATCGACCGAAACCAATGGTCCGCTATATCATTTACTTTGGTCGGTTATGAAGGTAAAAAATTTCTATCAGTTATTCGGTTTAACCGTATGCTCAACCCTAGCCCAATTTATTAAAAATTGCATCCACTGCAATAAATGTAATTATAATAAATGTTGACATGCCTATTGCTTCATATTTATGGTGATAATACAATACTTTCTCTATTTAGAAAAATATTTTGGGTGGAAAAATCTAACAATCTATTTTTAGCAGAACATTTTATTTTTATATATGTATATGTATATGTATATTATTATTATTATTATTATTACAAGGGCATTTTAGTCTTTATATCACTTATCCCCTTTCACTTCTCATATCTACCAAACACATGAAATTTTAATTCCTCAGTAATTCTCACCTTATCCCTTCCCCACGAAATTACAATTTCTGGCTTGTAAAACCTCAGGCTTCTCTAATCTTCTTATGTTCTTATATACCTTATTATTTTGACTTTTGAATTGCTTTTGCAATTTTCACTTTGTGAACGTATAAAATGAGATTGCAATTTTGGGGTTAGGAAAAAGAAAAAGAATTAAAAAAACACAGAAATACAGACAAAAAAAAAAAGAGCAGAAAGTTTTGCTGTGGGTTCGGGTCACATAGTGGGTTTTGCCGTGAGGGAAGAAAGATATGGCGATGGGTGCAAAGATAAAGGTGGGGTGAGTGGAAGACAATGAGAGGATGAAAGGGAGATGCAAATGACAGAAAAAATAGAGGTAGTAGAAAAAATCAAAGATATGTTAGAAGCACTAAAGATAGACATATTAATTATAAATGTAAAATTAGAAGCTACAGTCTGTTTACTAACTCTAGGTGTAGCAAAATCATATTTATAATTAGCAAGATTGTTGCTGCAAAAGTCAATTTAGTTGTTTTCCAGTGTAGTATTGTAGTTTGGTTTGTAGTTAATTTTGCGAACTACAAAGTTAGTTGCTTCAAAACTCTAAAGTGTTACTTTGTAGTTAATTACTTATATTATTCATTCGTTTGATATTGAGCATGCCGTATGCAAAAGTCATCCTTAGTGGTACATGGTTTAGTTGATGTTTTCCCGTGTAATTTCCTTAAATGTGTTAACCATGGTTTCTAGGTTATGGTGGTGCAAGACTCACCTTTAGTAATGTGCACTAATTGATATTAACTTTAGGAAATATTATTATCAATATCAAATTACACCATGCAGAGTTGCAGACGTGTTCTGCTAATACTTCATTCATTCACTCGCCATTCTTCGTAACTCATATGTATGATACGATATATGATAAGGTGCATTTGATTTTCTTTCATAGGTTCAAAAACTCTTCAGCATTGGCGGCTAAGCTATCGTCACTTTTACTCTGAAGAATCTCACCTTTGAATCGAAACTGTTTCTGCCGCCGGAGCCGCCATGAGTGCCGACAGTGAAAATGGTCCCCAAAATGTGTCGTCCTCGAGCTCCCAAGAAGCCGATAAGCCACCGATCGAACCCATTCGCCTCCCAACAGTCGAGGAAATTCGAGGCCAGGACATTTGGAACAACTGCGCCGTTCGCAGCGTCTCCAGCGGCGTCATGGGTATGTTCTCACCTCTCTAACCTCTGAAATTTTCTCAATGCATGCCCCTATAAATCATTGTATATAGCATTTCCCAATGATTGTAGTTGTCCAGTGTCCAGTTTGGCGATTGTGTGTTTTAAATGCTTAATAATATATGGATTTATAATGATGTTTGCAAAGGAGTAACTCTGGGAGTTGTGTTTGTAGGAGGGGGACTAGGATTGTTCATGGGTCTGTTCTTAGGTGCACTGGACAATCCTATAATGCAAGATGAAATGACTACCAGGCAACAAATTGTGTTCCAAGCAAAGCAGATGGGTCGGAGGAGTTGGAGCTCCTGCAAGACCTTTGCGGTTATGGGTTTCATTTTCTCAGCTGCTGAATGTGTTATTGAGAAGGTGAATGAAGTGTTAATGAAAAAAATTGGTACTTTTTAAGGTTTTGTTCATCTGTTTTGTGGTAATTATAGAGAACTGACAAAACAAATGATGAGTATTAAATGGGTTATTGAGTCTTATGTTTTGTTACTTTAAGGTTCTATTCATATGTTTTGTTGTAATTTTAGGGTTGGCAAAACAAATGATGAGTAAATGGGATATTGTGTGGTTTCACCGGCTAGTTAAATTCTGTTATCTGCTGTTCCTTATTGCCTTATTGTAAGGTTCTTTTGATGGTATGGTGATAACTTTGTAATGAAATTTATGAGAGATTGATCTCGGGTGGTTTCTTTGTAGGCACGAGCGAAGCATGATACTACAAACACAGCAGTTGCTGGATGTGTAACAGGAGGCACACTATCAGCCAGAGGTAAATTGTTGCTCTAGCCACGATAAGTATAATAGAAGAATCTGTATAACTCTCCAAGTATCCAGTTTTTTAATGTGTGCTGTGTTTCTAATGCTTGTGGATTCTGGTTTGGTTTTCTTTGAATCATTGTCGTAAATGTTTCACAGATCTGCTATACCCGAATGTTGAGCCTTTCTACACATTGCATAACATTGACAAAGTATTTGGTTGAACTAATAGTGAATGGTACAAAAAGAACATCTTGTCATTGCTGTTCTTGAAATACATATCTGCTGGGAGAGTAGATGCCTAGTGGTCGAAATTAATTGCAGTTTTTGAGATCAGCTAGAGTAGTTGAACTTGAAGTCAGCTTGTATAGTTTTTTTTCCTAATCACGAACTTCAAGTCATTAGGATTGCATTAGTCTATCATGACAAAATTACTATCTCATGCCTAATACTACATCTTTGCCTTGAGATGCAATTTGCAAAATTACTATCTCATGCCTACACTTGGCACTCTCCATTTCTGCTAATTCCCAAAAACACATTGTTTCAGGAGGTCCAAAGGCCGCGTGTGCTGGTTGTGCTGGCTTTGCTGCATTCTCAGTCGTGATAGAGAAGTTCTTAGAAAGGTACCATTAACAAGTTGCAGATTCATACAAGGACACAGAGAGTTGTAGCCAAGCGAGATATCGTGACTAGCATCATTCTTTTTGCCCCAACATTATCGTTGATTAATTTTTCTCTCCTTAGAAAAGGGACCTCATTGAAAGTGTTATGTACCTTAAAGATCTCGTTTTGACTCTACCATTAGCACAACTTCTCCCTGGTCTGGGGAAAGTTGAGGTGATCAAATAAAGCTTTGATAAACCAGTTTGGTTGGCGTGAGTGGCTGTGCACTCTCGTCCCTTAAGAGAGGTCGGGAGTTCGAATTCCTTCTTGTATGAAAAAACCAATCTGGCCAGCATTTTGCCCCTTAATTGGGCCGGTCCGGTGCGACGGGGATTAGTCTGAATATGGTACGGGCTTAAAGGTGCCTCTTACATTTAGGGTCCGCTCAGGATATCTCGTGAAAGCTTTGATATCTTTACAAACGTTCATTAGGTATTACAAAAAAGTTGTATTCATGTCCCATTTCTTTACTCTTCTGCTGCAGTTGTTCCCATGAATATCTTCTTAGCTTAGCTTGTAATCTACTAGCTATTTCATTTTTCGAGGGTACGAGTGTCTGCTTGGATTGCTATGAGCCTTATGGCGAAGTTTTGGACAATTTATCATGGACTACAATTATGTTGGATAAAGCGTATTCAACTATTGAACTAGTGACTTGTTAGTAGTTATACAAAAGATTAGGCAAGCTAACGATATTAGGACTCTCATGATATATAATTGAAGGAATTAAAATGTATGTAGAAATAGGACAACTACTAATACGACCGCACTCACATAGGTTCAAAAACTCTCCACACTTCATGTACACTTTGGATAGTAGTTGAGGTTTTCTTTGTCACTAAAAAAACCCTTCAAATGGCTTTTTATTGATATTGTTGGTGTTGGTACCAATCATTATTGTATGGACTAAGTCCGCAAGCTGTATGGACTATACTATTAAATAATGTACATTTGATACACAAATAATGTATTTTTAGTATATTAAAAATGTACATTATATTTAGAAAAAATATATTATTTGAGTACTAAAGTGGGAAAAATAAAAAATCTGAAAAATGTCTCCCGACTAAAAATTTAGGAAGGCATTTTCTATCAAATCGAGTCTTTTTTTTGTTGACCAAAATGAACATTTTTCTTTCACTTTATTTACTTGGATACTCAAATACGAGAAAATTCAAAAAATGATTTGCATAAGTCATTTTTCGAGTTTCTAAACAAAACCTTAATATACTATAACGCATTTTTAAATAATATATTAAAAATAAAGTTTTAATATAATAAAAATAAGTTTTTAATACATTAAAAATAAAATTTTTAGTTTATTAAAAATGAATATGTATATTAGTAATTTATATTACAATGTGCACCGAATTTATAATCCCTAAGATATGGTACGTGGGCTAACGTAAAAGCATTTAAAATTAGTGAAGTGCATAAGGTGGTATCGTATGCATCTATCATATTTCACGTAATGAATAACTTTTTATTTTTAAATATAAGATTGGGTTGTACAACGTCAAAAGTTTTTAGTCTATTATTTATGTATGAAAAATTATAATTTATACCCCTCACTTATACTTCAATTATTAATGTCATTCTTTAATTTTAAATGGTGTAAATGTTGTCTCTGGACTTTTAAAAAGTTGTACATATTGCTCTTTCTAAAACGGACCCTTTATATGACATTGTTTAGTAAAGTTAAAATGATAATTTTTTTTTTTATTTTTTTAAAAAATAAAATTATTAAAGGATTATAAAAGTTAAGATTCAAACTTGCAACCTTTGAAATACAACCATCCGCCAAGCTACTTTACAAATTGTTAATTTTTCACTTTCTATTTTCCTTTTACTCTTTCTTACTGGCTTGCCCTCGTTTTTCCTTCATTTCTTTCTAAGCAAATCCATTTTCGAAACCCATTTTCTTCTCTTGCTTCACATTTAAGTTTAAACTTAAATATTGTGAAAACTTAAATATTCTAGGTTTTAAAAGGTTAATAATATTGGGCCAAATTTCATGTAATTTTGTTTGATAATTAGGCAATTTTTGTTTGATAATTAGGCAATTGAAATAATGATTAGAGATTTTTCATATCTTTAAAGTGGTTGAAACTATCATTTTAATATATTAACATATTTAAATTTAAACGTTCTGAAAACTTAAATATGAAGAAAGGAAGAAGATAGGTCCGCTAAGAAAGAATGGAAAAAAAAGAAAAACGGGCAAGCCAACAAGAAAGAAGAAAAAATAATTGAACGTACAAAATTAACAATTTCTAAAGTAGCTTGGTGGGATTCTTGGGTTGTATTTTAAAGGTCACATTTTCAAATCTAAACTCCTAAAATCTTTTAACAATTTTATTTTAAAAATGAAAATAAATTACCATTTTAACCTTACTAAACAATGCCATATAATGTGTCCATTAACAAATGGGTAATATATACAACGTTTTGAAAATTCAGAAATAACATTTACTTTTAAGAGGCGATATTAATAATTGAGGTATAAGTGGGGACATAAATGACCATTTTTTCTTTTATGTATGGTATATCTTATGCGGAATAGAAAAAGTTGGACATGAATCCCAATATTTTAAATAAATTTTCTGAGTAGATTTTCTATAGAAATAGACAAGATAGGAAATTGGTTATGTGTTTGTTGCAATATGCAATTAAGGCGTCAAAGAGTACAAGTTAAATGAGGGGTCACCTTCATCTACTCTCATCTTTTCGTGGCGCTTCCAGTAGGTTCCACGCCAACAGCCTCCGCTTATCCAGCTTCGGCTATTCGGCGGCTTATCAACATAGAATCCAATCCAACGCTCCACGTTCAATCTCTCTCCCCCTCGTATAAAAGCCTTTGTGCAATCATCCCTTCCTTTTCAGCTGTTTCTTGAGCTGATAACCGCTGCTTCTTTCTTCCTCTGTTCACTCTCTCTCTCTCTCTCTCTCTCTCTCACGCGTGTAGCGTGTTCGGTGAGCTGAGGTTCGAGTTTGGTTGAGTCGAATCGGCTATGGCGGAGGAGGACCGGAAAGAGGAGGAGTCACTGGTGGAGAAGATTGCCGACAAAATTCACCGCCACGATTCTTCGTCGTCGTCCGATTCTGAGAAGGAGGAGGAGGAGAAGAAGAAAACGACTTCGTCCATGGACGCTAAGGTTCGTCGACTCTTTGGACGGCAGCAGCCTGTTCACAAAGTTCTCGGCGGTGGAAAACGTGAGTTTCTACTTTCTATCCAACACCATACCTTTCTTCCTCCAACAAATTTTCAGTTTATATTAATAAACAGGTCAAGTAAAAATAAAATAAAATTATACCTAGTAGTTAAGACTTGAGGAGTTTTTTTTTTTTTTTTTTTTTTTTTTTTTTTTTTTTTTTTTTATAATAATATATATAAATTAAATTTTACTGTGTTCAATTTTTATAATAACTGATTGATATTGTTTGCTTCGTTTTGGTGCTGTAATCAGGTAACGTTATAGAATTATAGGTTTAACCGTGCTTGGTGTGCAAGTGAATCTTGTTTGGAGATTCATTTCTGGTTTTTTTTTTTTTTTTTTAAAAATAGTTTCACTGAATTGCTAGTGTTTCTGTGATTTTGTTCTCTGAAATAATAAATGTTTGTAAAATTACTTTTATTTTGCTTTAATTTTTTCCACTGGGTTTAAATTTGAATCTAGATCCAGGAGGTAGTAATTAAAGGGAGAAGAGTGCTTGAAGGATTGGTAAAAGCCAACAGCTTAATGATACATGTTCCTGCATGTGCCTCGTGAATGTTCACTTTTCTTTCCATGGTTGTAATTATGGTCTTCAACTTTTTGCTGATAAACATTGATTTTGCTGGTTGAGTACCTTCATGGAAAGTAGGAAACGGATAATTACTAGAATCTGCCTTGAATTGAATTAAATTACATCTCATCTTTGAGATGTTACAGAGCTTGTTATCTAAAGAACATATTATCTGAGTTTATAATTACTTGCTGCTGCCTAGGACTGAACGGGGGGACCTTTTACTCTTTTAGCTGGTTTAATGTACTTAAACATTCATGAACACTGGGTAGTTTTGTGGTGCAGAGGCTGATGTCTTTTTATGGAGGAATAAGAAGATATCCGTGGGAGTTCTTGGTGGGGCCACTGCAATCTGGATTCTGTTTGAGGTTCTAGAGTACCATTTGCTCACTGCAGTGTGTCACGGCCTCATCCTTGCTTTGGCTGTATTGTTTTTATGGTCAAATGCTAGCTCTTTCATCAAGAAGTAAGCAGTTGTTGTTTAGTTATTTTCCTTTAGTTTTGTGTTGAGTCAATGTCATGTATTTCTTGTAATCCTTTACTTCTTAGGTCTGCACCACACATTCCAGAAGTTCACATCCCAGAGGAACCTGTATTGCAGTTTGCATCTGCTCTTAGGAATGATGTCAATCATTGCTTGGCAGTTCTGCGGGATATTGCATCAGGAAGGGATCTGAAGATGTTTCTAATGGTATACTAACATTCTTGTGCTAAGAATCAAGAATATATGCCTTTATGCTGTTAAGGTTTGCATTCATGTGGCCGCCACTGTCGTTTTGAAGGCCGATATGTGCACTATCTAGATGGGATATTTAATATTTTAATGTTTGCATTGTTTCCAATACGTATTGCTCTTCAAAAAGGTGTTCTTTTTCCTCTCAATACTCTTTCCAAATGTTGTTTCTTAATCAGGTAATTACTGGGCTCTGGATCATATCTATTGTGGGCAGCTGCTGTGATTTCCTGACTCTATTCTATATAGGTAATGTTTCCAAACCTGCTGAATTTTTGTAGACATTCTTATCTACTTATCTTACTATACCGGATCTAGTTATCAATCTTGTGAGTTATCAATCTTGTGATTGAACTATCAATCTTGTGATTGAACACGCAGCTGTTGTTTTACTCCACACGGTGCCCGTGTTGTACGAGAAATACGAGGACGAAGTGGATGCATTCGCTGAGAAGGCAATGCATGAGCTCAAGAAGCAGTATGCAGTGTTTGACGCTAAAGTTTTAAGCAAGATACCGCGAGGGCCATTGAAAGATAAGAAGCTTGCCTAGGACTGTAATTCCGTATGGTGCCATTATGTGAGAATGTGTAATTGATCACTGAAGAATCTGTGTTTTTCTGTTATCTACCAGCAAACATGTTGGATTTGCCACCCAGATGTTTGTAAATAACTCTACAATCCTGCATATGCACATGGTTCAGTCGTGTTATTATGCATATAATGTCATGGAATTTACTGTATTGTACATCTTGGAAATTGTCTGCAACCATCGCATAATACTCTTTACCTACTGAACATTTGGTAAAGGAGTTAATACCCAAAATCGTCCTCGACTATAGTGGTTTTTCTCAATTTCGTCCTAAATGACTTTGGTGACCTAATATCGTTCCGACTTTTGTTTTTTGTTCAATTTAGTCCTAGACTTTTGTGTTTTTGCTCAATTTAGTCTCTCATTTGTTATTCTGTCCATTTGGTGTTAAATAAATAGACAATTCAGTAATTTTAATATTGGCATCTATTTACTCATAGACATGTGAACTGCGAAATCCTTTTTTTTTTATGAATTAATCTCAGAATTACTCTTAAAACTGTGAATATAAAATTTGATTTGTAGTTCTAGGAGTAATTCTGGTATAATTCGTACAAGAAAGAGAAATTTCGCACTTTACAAGTTGAAAGTAAAGAGTTGAAAGTAAAGAGAGATCAATATTGACGTTACTGAATTGTCCCTTTATTTAACACCAATTTGACGGAGTAACAAATGGAGGGCTAAATTGAGCGAAACACAAAAGTCTGGGACGATATTAGGTCACCAAAGTCGTTTAGGACGAAATTGAGAAAAATCACTATAGTCGAGGACGATTTTGGGTATTAACTCTTTGGTAGAGTACCAAAAACATATTGGATCTATACGTGTTTTATGGAATAAATCAGCGTTTTTGCGGAATAATTTGTGAATTATTAAGTGTAATGTAGAAAAATTTGTAGTTCATACAAGCAAAGTCAGGATGGCCGAGTGGTCTAAGGCGCCAGACTCAAGTTCTGGTCTTCGTGAGAGGGCGTGGGTTCAAATCCCACTTCTGACATTAATTTTTGTTAGTTTGCTTTTTTAGAACTTGTTCTTATATTATATTATAGTTGAAAACAATTTTGCAAACTACTTGTCAGGATGGCCGAGTGGTCTAAGGCGCCAGACTCAAGTTCTGGTCTTCGTGAGAAGGCGTGGGTTCAAATCCCACTTCTGACATTACATTTTGCGTAAGTATAAGCCGTATCATTTACAATGTGAATAACTCATTATGTACAATTGCAAGGTCAGGTAATCAATTTCTGTACATTTTCAGTGTGAATAATTCATTACGTGCAACTACAATGTCGGTCGGATAATCAGATAATCAACTTTTGTATATGTACATCATAAAAAAGTATTAACATGTGAGAGTAATTGAGCTAAAATTAGAAATGAAGTGTTATTGGTATAAGAATGATAGTTTCATTATACAAAGTACAAACTAAACAATGCAGTTGACAACAGTACAGAAGCTACACCTCTACAATCTTCAAACTACTGACCACAAAACCACCCAATCTGTTCTGTTCAACACAACAGATTCATTAGAGATAAAGAATTTCTTCTACTGAACAGTTAACAAAACAAATGCTCCAGATGTCTCTCTCTGTCTGTCTGTGCTTGCAGAATGATGAAATCAGAGCTTTTGCTGAATTTGCTGTACACAATTATTTTGTAATGCCAAAGGATTTTATTTCATTAAATCTATGAATACAAAGCCATTCCACAGACTGTGCAATAGTATCGACGGGAGGAGGTTCCTAGACCTAGCGTATATTATCCCCATGACGACCCCCAGAAATATTAGCGGTAACATCCTCTGTACATTAAAATGCGCTAAAGCAAACGCGACTGAACTCACGAGAATTGAACACCATACAGGCATGTACTTTGTCAAAGAAGGAAGAAGGAAGCCCCTAAATACAATCTCTTCCCACATCGGAGCACACACGACCAGTACTAGTGCGTAGAGCGCCATAGCCACCGGATCTCGCGCCAGTATCGACTGCTCGACGCTGGAGAGCGTGACGGGAGTGGAAGGCAGCACGGGAAGCAGGTCGAGGTTGAACTGCGAGAGCCGATTTACAAGTGGAAACATGAAGCATCCAAGGACGAGATCAAAGATCCAGTTTCCTCTCACACTAAATTTGAACCAGTCACAAGGAAGGGGACAGAAACGAGATAAGCACCGTTGAAGAATTAAAATTCCGGCTAGGCCCTCGGTTACATCAGTCAATAGGCTGAACAAAGCCTGCCCTCTAAACGTCAATGATTCTTTGCTAAAACCCACCAAGTGCGCTCCAAAAGGAATCATCCACGAACCAATAAACCAGAAGGACACAATCCAAAGGAGCATAACCTGCAATACCATAGGATGCCCTTGGTAAACACATTTGGCTATTGTATACACCAAAGTGAACGTCAAACAAACTTTAAATGCATTTAAGAGGAGGCACGAGACTACCATCAAAAAGAAATTTTGCATAAAAAACTCATCAACTAATCATGGTTTTAGTGAAATGTAGTTTAGCTTTAAATATCTTAACTTATATATTGCTAATAAAGAAACCATACAATTAGCTTTAACCAGTTATTTTATTTTAACCATTTACTCTGTAATTATATATTTATAAGTAGAGTTCCACCAGCTATACGCAGAAGAAGATCAGTAATGGGAAGTAGCACACATCTTTGGAAATAACCTAAAGTCAATCCACAAGTATTGATACCGAGAGCAAAGATCCCTTAATATACTGATAAGTCAAGAAACCTAAGAAAGCTGACTGAAGTTCCAAAAATACAAAACGAACAGACGGAACAGTAACAAGTAATAACATGTAAACCAAATAATGCAAAGAGAATTCCAAGCCCTTTTTTTTTTTTGGGGATACATTAGGTTTCCCAACTTACGCTAGACTAATCTTAAGCCCCCAGAACCCCTGCCCAATTTAGAATTTGGGCTCTTGGGCTCCCCAAGTTGGCGGAATAACCAAGATATTCACTGAATACACCTTTTTATGTTCATGTATATCCTTGACACCAAGGGAGCAAATATAAGAAATCTTATAAGATCTCAAAAGCTTATTAGCATGGTATTTCAGGACTCTTACCTGAAAGATGGTCTTTGCTGTCCATGGGACGTCCCAAGGTTCACCAATCACTCTACGTACTATATTTGGTGCCTGAAAAGTATAAGCCCATTGACAAATGTGGAATGCATCAAAGCAATTGCATGATACATTAGGAAGTCAATAACTAAGCGACTATATGTTGAAATTGAGTGTGGATGGAGAACTTACCTCTGCAAGAAGTGAAATCCAATCTCTTTTCCGAACACTTGATTTATCAATTTCTGACTTTCTTTGTTCTTCCTGCAGAACCTCCTCAATCACCTCAGGGTTGGATTCACCAGAACAAAATTCTTCATTCCTAAAGCATGAAATTTTCCATTTCTACAATATACAATTATATGAAATTAAGATCGGTAGATGACATGCATAACAAATATTCCGGAATCAATGTTGATTCCTGAGTTGCTTACTCCTAAACATGTAGACCCTTTACTGATCCACTAATTATAAATGATAACAAGTGATATGTTTACGTCTAGTCTCCAAATTTTAGGACATACCCATGCTTTCACATTTCATCAACACATGAAATGTATCCCAGTATCATACTCCCAATTAGAACAGAGAAAAGTTTTTTTTTTTTTGATAAAAGAACAGAGAAAAGTTAGACACAGAAATTGCCTTTAAAGAATTCTAAGTGCTTGTTTGAACAAAGCTGTTAAGAGGCAAAAAGATCTATTTTAAAAGGATATTGTTTTTCACCCCTACAATTAACACCTCCTATTAGCCCCTCCCTAATTAAAAAAGGAATTTTTTTTTTCTTGTCATGGACTACTGGTGAATTGGCCGATACCACCCCAAGTTAATAAGGAAATATAGGCATCCAATAAAACGGTGATATGTTAGGGAGGTGATTAATAGGGACCGGCTTATGTAGGGGTGTCTAGCATGGTTCATTTTGAAAAGAGCTCATAAAAAACTTCTCTGAATATATTGCTTAGTACTTATTTAGAATGAAATGAAGCTAATTTGGAATACAAAACTTTCAATAGAAGACCTGTATCTCTCCACAAAGAGCTTTTTCAAAAAAGAACCTCAAATTAGAGCTTCTAAAGAAAGAGACAAATTGTCTCTTAGTCCCTCCAAGAATCACTTTGTAGAAAGCAGTGTTTGGCCCAACTAATGACAGTAGATAAGAGGCAATAAACTGCAAACCAAACAAGCACCAAGTAACTCATAATTCTTGGACCTTTATTTGAAAATGAATTGGTAATACATGAATAACAACAAAATGTAGAAGTACACAGCAAAAGTAAATATTTGATTGTTGTGGTGAGTATAAAATGAGATTTCATAACCTATGCATACACACACATAAGCAACTAGTCAGCACCCCCAAATGGGCAGCATATTGAGTTAAAGGTAGCAACTTTAGGAAGAGTTAGAACTGAAAAGCTGTAATAGAATACATCCCATTTGGCTGGAGACACTAGACAATCAAATGAACTAATTTCAAACAGAGAACAATAAGAAGATTGCAAATTTATGTTATTGATTAGATATTGAAACCAAAACAAAGTATACCTCAGACTTACGAACATAAATAATAAAAAAGCTTACCTTTCTAGTAAGGCGTTGATGGGTTTCGCAGAATCGAGAGGTTTGGGGGAGGAGAGATATGGATTTGGGAGCAAATTTTGAAACCCTGAAATTAGGGATTGAAGAGGAAAGGAGAGAGGGTCGGGGAAGAGAGCGAACGGAATTCGAAGCCAGCATCAGCCCAATCTGAGTATTCTGATTATAAGAATACTGAGACGAGGAAGAAGAAGAAAAAGCCCTAAATTTCAGAAAACAAGGAGTGATTGGAATTGAAGCCATCCTTATTTAGCATTTCATTGTTCTTCAGCACCTTCCTATTTCTTTCCCAAACACAAAACCCTAACCTGATTCCAATTTTTTTTATTTTTTTTTTTCCTACTACAGTCTACAGTATAAGGATAATTTGTATATTTATTTATTTAATTTTATATATATGACAGATGGATATGGAAATAATCATTTTGGAATCTATCAATCTATGTGGCTGTCTGGCTGAGGACAGAAGGAATCAATATTTTCTTTCCGTTCCTCAGATTCTCTCCCTATATATGAGGTTTTTTTTTTTCTCCCTCCCCAAATGAATTGATTCCCTCCCTATATTGCTATATATGAGAGTTTTTTTTTTTTTTTTTTCCTTCTCTCTCCAAATGAATTGATTTGTTGGTTTTTTTTTTTATTTTTTATTTTTTATTTTTATTTTTTTAATTACAGTATAATCTTTTCTCAAAAGGTTGAATCCCCACTCCTAAGCGTCACCCACATTCCGACCCTAACATCTTTGATTGAAATGAGACTCAAACCTGTGACTTTGATTAACACTATAACAGTGATGCTATCAAACCACAATGTACTTAACAATTGATTTATTTGTTACAACACGTTGTTTTTGTTATTTTGTACTCAGTTCAAGCAAAGTTTAGATCGGTAAATATTATTCACTTAAAAATTTAATCCATGTAAATAATTACATACTATTTACAGTATACAATTGTCTAAAATTTTGTATAGAAAAGTATAGAACCAAAAAAAAGGAAAACATTTTGTACTTGTACATTGTGCATATTTATTTGGAACTTTCATTATATGTATTTGTCTTTAAATAATAAACAAATTAATTATTATATTAAAATATTTGCAATATATTCCGTTTAGAATTTGAGTTTTAATTTGTGCATTTAGTTCACATTTTATTAATACTTTGAATTTATTTTATTAAAATACAAATTTGGTGAGAGTAACCACAATAATTGCTTGGATGTTTAGGCTTTTTGTCTTACAAGGAGAGATAAGGTGAGGAAAAGAAGGGAGGGGAAAGGAAAAAAACATGCAAAATTTTTAATTTTTTTAATGATATAAATGTCCCTAGTGGGCACACGTGCAGTGCATATACAACGTGCACCAGGAAGTTTTTTTTTTTTTTTTTTTTTTTTTTTTTTTTTTTTTAATTTCTTTGCATGCATATCAACAACTCAATTTTTGTAAAAGAGTTTTTTTTTTTTTGAATGCTACTAACTCTATTACAATGTAGTATCTGTTCGTATACTTTCTCAACCTACTGAAACACAAAGAGCTAATAACGCCTCTACTGAGGCTTGAACTCACAATCTTCCACATGGAAGTTCAACCCGGGTACCATTGGACCACATAGTCCTGGTGTAAAAGAGTTAATTCTACCAGAGATCCATGGTCTTTGGTGACATTTTAAATTTAGTCTCAGATTATTATTTTTGTCATTTAACATCCTATACTATTATTTTTTGAACATTTTTAGTCATTCTCATAACTTTTTATATTTTTAGTAAGAACATTTTTTTCTTTTCATATTTTTCTTTTGTTATTTTTTTCTGTTTCAACCGGTTTAATTGGTTTAGAACTTTAGGTAACTTCTAATTTTTAGTAATCATATTCTCTAATAGAGTATGTTGCTAAGTACCTCACCAAGTTTAAGGAAGGAAAAGAACATGTTGCTAAGTAGCTCATTAAGTTTACAGTCCGTTTGGTTCACGAAAAATATTTAAGGGGAAATGGAAGCGAAATTCCATGGAAAAGAAATTATCCTTTTTACACTCATTCATGTTTTTTCTTTATGTTCATATCCCAAAAGAGTATGTTGCTAAGTACCTCACCAAGTTTAAGGAAGGAAAAGATAGAGCATGTACGTTGCTAAGTAGCTCGTCAAGTTTACGGCCCGTTTGGTTCATGAAAAATATTTGAGGGGAAATGAAATTGAAATTCCATGGAAAAGAAATTATCGGGAAGATTAATTACGTTGTTTTGTTGGTAAAAAATAAATTATTGGAAATATTGATTCCATTGTTTGGTTGGGTTTGGAATTGTAAGAAATAATGAGTATAAAGACAATTATATCCCTACACAATAATAACAACAACAATCCTACTTGTTTTCCATAAAGAACAAAATACCAATGAGGTGCTAAGGGCTGGGCACTTCTGGTTTCGGTTCGATTTTTTTCGGTTTCGGTTTCGGTTTCGGTTTTTCGGTTTTAAAAAAATTAAACCATTCGGTTTAAAATAGAGTTCGGTTTCGGTTTCGGTTTCGGTTTCGGTTCGGTATTCGGTTCGGTTTTGGTGAAAGTCTACTATTTGAACGTTTCTTTTTTTGCATGACCGATTGTTCAGTTGGCTCACTTGGAGTGCCACTTGAAGTGTTTTGTTGATGACAAGATGAAGAATCATTCATCTATAGTTAATATTTGAAAAATAAACATTATTAAAACACCAAATGTTGGGACTTACAACTTGGAGTTGAGATTTGAGGACTTGAGGAGTTAAAATTATTAATTATTATAATATTTATATATAATACTAACATTTTGTACGCGTGATGCACGAAAATTTATGTCCAACATTAAAAAATGGATAAATGCAAATAATTACAAATTATAGTTCAAATTATATTTCGTAATTCCTTAAAGTAGTAAATTTTAATCATCGTATTTAAAAATTATAGAGATGAACAAAATTTATATCTTACTATTCATAGAAATTTAATTAAAATATAATCAACAATTAAAGTAATTATATAATGATTTTAATAAAATGATAATTAAAGAATAGGAAAAAGATATCATAGTTATATATATATATATATATATATATATATATATATATATATATATATATATATAGGTGTATGATAGTAATGATAGAATTATGAAACTTTTAGAATTAAATAGCAACGGTGTAATAACAGTATAATGGTATTTTAGTTTAACAAGAGTGTAGTACGGACAATTTTATTCATTATATTTGAAGTGTGCAACATTTAATGAAAAATGTATACCTTTATTAGCATACAAATGTAGATATAGATATGAATGTGGCTATAGCTTAGTGGGTGAAGCTTTTAGTTTATAACAAAATGAGCAAGGGTTCAAACCTCATCTTAAACATTTAATATAATATAATATCTATCTATTATTATTAATAATAAAAAAAAAAACAGAAAACTGATCGGTTTTTCAGTTCGGTTCGGGTCCGAACCGAATCGATCGGTTTCCTCAAACCAAGGACCGATCGATTTTTCGGTTTGAGGCCGAACCGAACCGAACCGAAATGCCCAGCCCTAGTGCTATGGAAAATGTTTTTCATGAACCAAACAAAGGAAAAGTCAATTTTCCTCAAATTGAAGGAAAACATTTTCCAACGAACCAAACATTTAAGGAAGGAAGAGTTTATGGTGTCAATAATTTATTATCGTCCCCTCACTGTTACATGTTAAAGTTTAATTATCAAAATGTTGTGAAGGAGTGCAAGTATTCAAATTTTTTCAAACATATGTATCCTCTTAAATCTTTTGCATCCCTGAAGGCTAAAGAAGGGTTAGACGAGAAAGAATTGATTGATATGTTTAATTAAATATCATTGTTAATATTTCATAACCCAACAGGGTAGCTCAAGTGGCAAATGAGTTCTCTTTGTGGGGGAGAATTTTGGGATAACCCGGGTTCAACTCCCACAAGTGACGATTCCCTTTGGGCCAGTTTTTGTGCCTCTCGGAGCGAACCAGGTTAACCTGGACAGGGTAGCTCAAGTGGCAAATGAGCTCTCTTTGTGGGGGAGAATTCTGGGATAACCCGGGTTCAACTCCCACAAGTGACGATTCCCTTTGGGCCAGCTTCTGTGCCTCTCGGAGCGAACCGGGTTAACCTGGACAGGATAGCTCAAGTGGCAAGTGAGCTCTCTTTGTGGGGGAGAATTCTGGGATAACCCGGGTTCAACTCCCACAAGTGACGATTCCCTTTGGGCCAGCTTCTGTGCCTCTCGGAGCTTTCACATGTTTATTCTTTATTATTATTTACTTATAAATGTTTTTATAAACGTGATTGTTGGTAGGGTTGTTGAGATATACTCTTCACAAGGACAATCTGATTGTTGGAAAACCTACCATACTTATTGATTTTATTTTTGAGGATTCATAGTAAGTGATTATTTTTTTTCATGATATACATAGTTTTGCTCTAAATAACTATAACTGAGTTTGTTATTAACAAAGTGTATTGTATGGCCTTTGTAGGGGCAATAAACTCAAATGTACTGTGTTGGATGAACATGTATCCAAGGTTGAGCCATTTTTTAAATACAAGAATCATGAGCCCTGTTATTGTTCTTCTACAATTTTGTAGGGCTAAATATTGTGTGAGCAGTAAGTATTTAATTCCAACTATAGTTGTATTTTCTTTAAATTTTATAAGAGTTAATACCACAAATGGTTCTCTGACTATTGTGGTAGTACTTCTTTTAGTCATCAACTTTTAATTCGACCAAAACACATACCTCAACTTTTTATTTTTGACCACAAATAATCTCCCGTTAGACTTTCTGTTAAGTGAGTGTTAAATTTAAGAGTATTATGGTCAAATTGAAGATAAAAAAAATAAAATAGTTAAAAGCACTTTGTATCTGACAATGTCTTCCTTCAACACCAAATCTGCAGTTGATCTCGCTAAGCTTGAGCCACTAAATGGCTTGAATTTTCGCAGATGGTCTGCAAAAATTTTCATGCATTTCGAGCAGACTAAGACTGATTACATCCTGCTTCAAGACCCTGTTGCGTATCTCTCTCCACCTACGTCGACTCCAACTCAGACATGTCAGTCCACTCCGCAACTGTGACAACCCAAAAATAATTTTTCTAAAATTCTATTTTTATAAACTCCAAAACAACTATTTTCACTCTTTCAAATATTTTTCGAAAATGGTGTTTGAATTAAATATTTTAAATCGAGTTTTTAAATTAATTCGACATCAGGAATATTCTATTTCAAAAATCCTAAATTTCGGGTACATTTATGTACTAAGTTTTGACCCAAAAAGTCAATATGAGTGAAACCGGAGAGGAAACTGTGAAACCTGA